ATCCAAGTGGTCACCCGGAAATGAATTTTTCTCCTCCACCTACCCACCTTAATGAATGACGGGAATTTCCCTTTCTTGCTTGAATCATTCTAGTTAAAAATGGCGGATTATTATTTTCATATGTCAATTTTTTTTCGTTTTCTATATTTTAAGCAATAATATTTTTTTTCTAATATTTCATATTTTATTGATTAGATATTCTAATACTAAAACATTATTCCCCTTAAAAATAATGTTTATTTATTTTTTGCTTCTTAGATTTAGATCATTTTAAGCTTTGTTCCAGAATTTCCCCTTCCTGCTTGAATCATTCTAGTTCAAAATGGCGGATTAATATTTTCGTAACTGTTAAATTTTTTTCGTTTTCCATATTTTCAGCAATAATATTTTTTTTTAATATTTTATATTTGATTGATTAGATATTTTAATGCTAAAACATTATTCCCCTTAAAAATAGTGTTTATTTATTTTTTGCTTCTTAGATTCAGATCGTTTATTAAATCATTTTAAGCTTTGTTTACCTTGGGGGTGTATTATACGGAAAAATCTATTATACAGACTTCTGGAAGTCCCACCGATTCCGGATACGCGACTTTACACTGTATTTAAAAACTTAACAGACATCAATTTTCATTATTTTACGTTTAAATTTCTATGGAAAAGGATAGAGTAATGATACAATCAAAGTCCATTAATAGGGAGAAGGGGTAATTATTGAGAAGTATACAATTCGAATCTTAAGAGTAGTATGTAAAAAATAAATATATTGGAAATGCAGAAAAACACCAATTCTGCAGTTTAATTCACTTTCATTAAGTTATGTAAGAAAGGGCAGGTTTGAGTTATGGGGTTCAAATTCAATAATACTTTCTTATAACATTAAATTAAATTCTATGCATTTTATATTACTATGCAACTATCAAAAACAAATTCCCAGATTGTTTTTCCCTGAAATAGTCCACTTCAGTGCTGCGAAACATTTCCTTGTAATTGCATTAATCAATTGGAATAGAAAAAACCTGTAAATGGATGGATGTGGCTAATGAACATAGCAAAAAGGAACAAAATTCATATCTATACTGCAGTGAGAGAAATACTGATCTCAGAGATACATTCAGAGAGTAATAGTATAATTTCAATATTTAACATAATTTTGAAAAAATATCAGAATTGGAATAAGCAAGGCAATACTAAATTAATATATATTTTTAGAATCCTGTTCAAAAATGAAATCATAAAATTTACACTCTTAAGAAAAGATAAATAAATTTTCTAGTAAGATAAAAAAACACTATATTAGATCACTATTGCTATCTCATTCATCAACATCATTAATGCAGTGGTGCTACTCGCAAAATATCAAATTGTCTCACCAGAAATTGCATTTCGTCTCAGTTAAAATCTCTTTTTGGCTCAGTTTGTCTTAGCTAAAATTATTTTTTGACTCAGTTTATCTGAGCTAAAATGACTATTAATCAGTTTGATAACAATATTAAGATAATTTTCAGGATCCATTAATAGCATACTAGGTGTACTACAATTATACATACATTCACTATTGCTAGGATTTTAAAAAACCTGCATATGATTGATCATAAGAGTTCACAAAATTGTTTTGTGGACTCTGATGTTTTCATATATATTGCATTTATCATTTATGCCAATGAATAGTATCTGTTCCAGAATTTTACAAAGTAAATTTTAACTTTCTTATTTTTCAAAATATAATGGTGTAATCTTTCTAAAAAGAAATATCTATTTAGTTTTTTGGTAATTCAAAAGGGAAAATACCCATTTTATTTTGAGTTCAAATTTCATCTCAAAATATATAGCTATTCAGTTACAATGGAAGGTCTACAGATTTCAATAATTAAAAGAGAAATTCAGTAATTAAATAATGAGAGTTAAAAAAAATGTAAATAACACAAAAAAACCCACTCTTTGACAGAATTCAGGAGGTGCAGTGAAATTTTGAAATATTTTAGGTAGGAATTTTTCAAGAAAATTTTAGGGAGCACTTAATAGCAAAAAATTAGCATATATATATTTTTATATCAAAACAGAAATATATAAAAATTATTATAAACAATTTAAAAAGACACATATAAATATACTTTTCTTTCTAAAATGACTTGCATCCTTTATTAAGTATAAAAGTAAACCTTTTAGTTAATTGGCATTAACTAGTAGATTGTACTTTCTTGCATTCACAAGATCAGTTAGTTGACTATGTTCTTTTAATTTATATAGCTAAACATACAATCATAAAATGTAATTATGAATGCACTTAGTAATTGTTTAAATGCAAAAACTGTAGAAAAATATATATCTTTACAGTAACTAATTCAAGAAAAAACTTAATTCTACTTCTAGAATCGCAATACTGGACTTTAAAATCGCGTGAATATGAATTGCGATATTGGGTTTTAAAATCGCGTGAATATGAATCGCGATATTGGATTTCAAAATCGTGTGAATATGAATCACGATATTGGATTTTAAAATCGCGTGAATGTGAATTGCGATTTTGGATTTTAAAATAGCGTAAATATGAATCACGATATTGGATTTCAAAGTCGTGTGAATATGAATCACGATATTGGATTTTAAAATAGCGTGAATATGAATCGCGATTTTGGATAAAATCGCGTGAATATGAATCACGATATTGGATTTCAAAGTCATGTGAATATGAATCACGATATTGGATTTTAAAATAGCGTGAATATGAATCGCGATTTTGGATATTAAAATCGCGTGAATATGAATCGCGATATTGGATTTCAATATCGCGTGAATATGAATTACGATACTGGATTTCAAAATCGCGTGAATATGAATCGTGCGGTTGGATTTTAAAATAGCGTGAATATGAATCGCGATTTTGGATTTTAAAATCGCGTGAATATGAATCGCGATATTGGATTTCAAAATCGCGTGAATATGAATCACGATATTGGATTTTAAAATCGAGTGAACATGAATCGCGATTTTTGATTTTAAAATCAAGTGAATATGAATCACGATATCGGATTTTAAAATCACGTGAATATGAATCGTGCGGTTGGATTTTAAAATCGCGTGAATATGAATCGCGATTTTGGATTATAAAATCATGTGAATATGAATCACGCTGTTGGATTTTAAAAACACGAAAATACAAATCACGATATTGGATTTTAAAATCGCGTGAATATGAATCACGATTTTGGATTATAAAATCACGTGAATATGAATCGCGCAGCTGGATTTAAAAAACACAAATCACGATATTGGATTTTAAAATCGCGTCAATATGAATCACTATTTTGGATTTTAAAATCGCGTGAATATGAATCGTGCGGTTGGATTTTAAAATCGCGTGAATATGAATCACGATTTTGAATTTTAAAATCACGTGAATAAGAATAGCGCTGTTGGATTTTAAAAACGCGAAAATACAAATAGCGATATTGAATTTTTAAATCGCGTAAATAAGAATCACGATGAATAATTTTTAGATCACGTGAATACGAATCGCAATGAGTAATTTTTAAATAGCGTACAAATACGAAAAACGAGATCTGATATTACAACTGCGTGATAACGAATCGCAATATTGGATTTAAAAATGCGTGAATACGAATCGCGACGTTGGATTTTAAACTCGCGAGAATACAGATCGCGATATTGAATTTTTAAATTGAGTGAATAGGAATTGCTAGTACGATTTTTAAATAGCGTAAAAAAATCGCAACACGTAAGTTTTAAATCAGTTAAATACGAAAATCGATGACTGATATTCAAATCGTCTGATTAAAAATCGCGATTTTAGCATATTCCAGCGCAGTTCCTAATATTTAAAATTCAGAAAATCAGCCAAACAAAAAAAAAATCAAATATCGGCGGTCGAAACGAAACGCTTAGACTCCTTTCCACTCTATAGCGGAAGTCGCGGTAATCCAACTATCGTTCCGGCGGCTTGGGTTTCTCTAATTGGACTCCATAGAAAATTTGTTTCTGGAACATGGTTGGAAATTTTAGAAATTGGGAGAAAAAAGCGGATTTCCGCTTTTTCGCGGAAGTCTTTCATCCCTGAATAATTATGTGCACCGTACAGTTTCCTAAGAAAAAAAGCAAGATAATAACCAATAGTATAAGGGAAGAATACCCTCTTTTCTTACAAGATCACGGGCATGCGATACTGATTGCTACTCACTGCTGTACATAATCCAATTGTAGACACGAAACGCATATTCTATATGCATTCCAATAGCAGATTTGCCAAACGGAATTTCTGACATTTAAATGACGTATATAGGAGGCGTGAATGGCAAAATGCTCTCCAATGACTCACGGCGATGCGGATTAATATTTGAAACTGAATTCAGGTTTGTCAAATTTTGGACGTTTTGTCTCAGAATGGCGCAGCTTTGGCAAAAACTGAGCTGAATGTCGCAGTTATGCCGTTTTGTCTCAGTTTGTCGCAAATGATGCAGGCGTAGCATCCCTGTTAATGTTATCGCACTTTGAGTAATCAATATTAAAGCTGATCAGAGAAAAAGAAAGATAAATGCCACAGATAGGATCTAACCAGCCTTAATATTGATCGATTGGAGCTTACCTGACACAGGATTATGAATGAAATATATACACTTTAAATTCATTTTCTAAGATGGTGCAAAGCTGATTCAGTAAAACAATTAATATGTGTATAGTTTATATTCAAATATTCTAAAAATATAAATTATAGATGATAAGTACAAAACACCTTGTTATTTATGACAATAATTACAAAACATGACATAATAATAATAACTAAAGATCAAAGACGACTGAACACTCACATCTCCCCATCTACCAACAACGTCAAGGATATCATTTCTTCCTACTGATAAGTCTACAATACACTTATTAACAGCTTTACTACTTCTTTCAGGAGTTAAATCAGCTTCAGCAATCTCAACCCATCCTAAAGATCTCACTGCAAATCGTATAGGCCTCTAAAAAGCAAAATAAGTGGATTAAATGCAGTGATGTTTTAAGTAACAAAAAAGATGTGGATCAAAAATTTTAAGTTTTAATTGGGAATAGTCGACTATTTAAAATATTTTCAAAATTAGCATTTGTATTCATACAAAATGTTATGTTTTGGATACATGGACCAGTAGCAAAAAGATATTAGCTTATACTTTCTTAATTTTCACCACAGGTGGATATAGAAATTTTTTTTAACAGATTTTCTATATACACCAGTACTATATACAAATTTTTTTAAAGTTTTTAAACAGAAATTTTTTTATTCATTATAAAAGTTGTGATAGAAATTATAATTTATACAATTTAATAGCCTAAATAAGACACATAAAAGCCTCTCTTTTTTTCTTCTTTCATTCATTTTACTTTGAGAGTGGCATGACCCTTTTAAATCATATTGAGTTCTATAAATGTTGAATATGAAATAAAAATTGAATCTTTACCTTAAAATAACCATTATATTAATATTTCATTAAAGATAATGAAACAGAAATTAAAAAAAAAAAAAAAATACAAATCCAAAAGCTTTCCAGAGTTGACATCACACTGAGCAGCCCATGATGGCAGAATCTTCTGCCCAGGACTTGCGGATGATGGGGAAAGGATGAACCCAGAAATTCATTCCTACACTGCTGGACAGTCACTCAGCCTGTTGCCCCCTTACAAGATAATTTGTGGTCACACACACAAGCATGTACTTGTCATAAAAACCGTATCNCAAACCCTATATACAGTAGATATGTAATTCAATATTTTCTTACTTTGTCTGAGAGGACAGCACCAGAGTCCCCCGGGCAGCTTCTTCTTCTAGAAGTATTTAGTAATTATTAATAAGAGTCAAAATCTTAACTTAATAAAACAATAAATTAAAAAAGGACACTTTTCCTGACCTTTCTGACCTGACTCTGAACTTTTCCAAAAATAAACTATTTCTAGAAACTTAAACAGTTTATGATACTTGCTTTACATGTAACAATATTTTTTTAATCAAATATCTTAAAACTTTTCCTCAAATTTTGATTTTGCTTTAAGGAATTATCAATAATCAAATTCTCAACAGTGTATTAAAAAATATTTTAGAAAGCTCAGCTGTTGAATCTCTAATAAGCCCCAAATGTTTGTTTTGAGCATTTTTCATATAAATTTGATTTCAATTGGAAATATAAGAATTAAAATTCTACTTCACACTTCAAAAAAATTTAGTTCTCTATAAGCTCACAAAAACAAAATGGAAATAAGAGAAATAGTTGCTGCTTATACTCTTTGGCTTAGACAAACTAAACCAAGTCTAGAAGACTATTTTGCACAATTAAATCAAAACCTACAACCCCTCAATCAACAGCTCCCCCACAGAGGCACTAATACAATCTATGATATGAGGGGGAGAAGTAATAACAGAACAGCGGCAAGCAGCATGAGTCCGTTAAGAATTAGACTCTTAATGTGACCAATCTTAAGTCTAAATAGAGAGATTTGAGCAAGTCTTGGACAAAAACACTGCAATGACAGTCTATGGTACTCAGTGGTATACCAAGCATGTTCAATCCTCCAAGTGGTGTTTATATCAGCCAAAAACAGGAAGTGGATCTCAGAAGTTCGTAGTCCAGTGAGTGTGTAGTTAGCTTCCTTCCCTAGCAAGCAGGTCAGCAACTTCTTTTTCCTAAACCTCAACATGCAAGGGAATCAACAGTAAACATAACAGTATCACCCAGGGTCAAAGCCAATTTATTCAGGATATTAGGCCAATTCCTAAATTACTATAAGGAGCTTTGCTATTTGTCAGGATCCAAACATCACCCTCGTCAGCTTCCAAAGCAAGATTTAATGCCTCTCTACAGCAACAAATTCAGAGCGAAAAACTGATCTGTGTTCTCCTGTACTTGTTTTCATAAGAACACCACTGCCCATTCTTCCTGAGTCAGATCTGCTCCCATCTGTGCAGAGAGCAAGAGCACGGGAGGGAATACTATTTATGACTTCAAGGGAACGCTGGCACAGCAGTTCTGGGTGTTCGTTTTGCTTCATAAAATTCATATTCAAGTCTTCATTAAAAGTTACCTTACTAAGAGCAGCAGTAGGTGTTAATAAATTAAAAGGAATACAGGTCTCTACTTCAATATCCCCCAAAGCCTGTATTAAATACGGTGATATGATCTCAGATCTCGGGGTTTCAATCATAACAAACGCCTTTTAACATAATATATATTTAATAATAAAAAGGATGATGATAATGGTACAGTGTCATGGAGGAAACTGATTAGAAAACTAATGATTTTGCATTACTGCGCAGAGCGCCATCTATTGAGTTTTAGAAATTATAATTAATATGGAGAAATATTATTAACAGCCTGTTACCACATTAAACAAAGAGGGCTATCCTTTTTCAGCCTTTGGTTGTTTGTCTAATGTGATAATAATTTCTGTTATAGGATCCAAAACATTAAGTGTTTCAATGTATTTTGCACAATTTACACTTCCTCTCAAGGACAGAGTTTGAGATCAGCTTCATCGAGAACAATATTGCAACAGTGTTTGAGACCAGTGATAATTCTGGCTTACACTAAGTTGTACTCTCTGTTGTTGTAAAAAGCTGCAGTAACCTGGTATATCTGAAAGGCACATTAAAGAATTGGTCAAATGAGAGTAGTACAGTACAGAACCTCTTATCCAGAAATCAAAAAACCAGATAACCAGAATGAAATTCAATAAATTTTCCCGCCATATAAAACATATTTTTTTCCTTGTAAGATTTTAGGATTTTTCTTTCTTTTTTAAAAGATGTTTACTTTACCATCATTTTAGGAATAATCATTAGTTCCCTACACTGTCAGAAGTAAGTGTCTTCTACTAAATATCATGAATCATTCCCTTCCTCATCCTCTACTTAGTTGTTTCTTTTCAGTCATTGCTCAGTGAGAAAGGATGACTCACTAAACACCTGTTTTCTTATTATCTGGCCCTTAAGCAGAGGGAGTCATTACTAACAGATTCTCACAATAGGAGTCATCATGTCGATTGATTGCTTAGTGCAAGAGAATTAAAACAAATAATTTTATTTGTTTTCTTTAATTCTTAGAAATCTTTTTAAGTACTCCCTACATGGTCAACAGAACTCATATTTTTTCTATTATTTCTACAGCCCTTTTTTCATGTTATTTGGTACATATGGTACTAATCATTAAATAGAAGAGCAGTAGAAGGCAATTAACTTGCCAGTGACAAAGATGATGGCATTTCACCAATGATGAAATTAAAGAGAAATAAAATATTTCGATTAAGGAAAATAAAGTATTGGCTATGTTTAGTAGGTCAAGCAAAAATTCGCGAATTTTTTTTGTTAGATTCCAGAGGGAGAAAAATGAGAATTTCTTGCAAAGTGCAGCAGAGTGGCGCATTAGGGAACAAGAATCCTTTCCTTCCTGCAAATCCAGCTCAGTGTAGTCACATATATTTCGCATACATTTGCGTACTGCAATATATTATATATGGCGCGAACCTGCAAGCTTTTCATCAAACATGTAAAATGGTATCGATTTTATACACTTCGGATCGACGGTACGCCGAAATGGATTGCAGTTGAATAAATTGTGAAAAGGTTAAATAGAAAAATGTGAAAAACATGCTTTTTGCATAATTTATGGCGAAAATAGACTTGCTAAAGAAAAAACATAAGATTTTAGGATTTTTCTCATAAGATTTTAGGATTTTTCTTTTTTTGAAAGATGTTCACCTTACCATCATTTTGGAAATAATCATTAGTGTATTACTTCATCGTTTTTTCTTCTTTTTAAGATTATTTCCAAAAAAAGAATTTCTTTTTAGTTGGGTTTAACAATAAAAAAATGGTTTTTTGTAGCGATTCAGAAAACTGGAAAAATCAGTTATTTGGAATAGCGATGGTCCTGGATAATCGGTTCCCTACTGTATGTATATATATATATATATATATATTCAATATAATTTGAGGTTTAAAAATTATAAACATTTACTTGAAAAAAAATTGTATTGGCTTCAAAAAAATGTGAAGATGGTAATAAAAGTAGACAGGATTTAAGCACTCAAAAATAGGTGCCCATTATCAAGCATTGGCAGATGTAAGAGAAGAAACCAAAAGTAATTTGAAACATAAAGCTCATAGTAGTCAATGAAAAATGGAAAATAAAGGCAAAAAACTGCAGTAGTCAAGAGCAAAGCAGAAAAATAAAATAAAAAAGAAGAAAAAACTAAACAAGAAAAAATCTCATAAAAGTTTTTGCCCTTGCCAATTGTAAGAGTTTTTTTTACATCTTCTTCATGGTGTATAGAAAGGAATTTTGCCCTGATTTGCCCTTCTGAGCCACAGTGGTTTTCCTGGCCTTACTTTTCACCATTTTCCATAGGCAATTTTATGTTTATGTTTCAAATCACTTTTGTTTTCCACATTTAAGTCTAGCAAGTCTTGATAATGGGCACCCATTTTTGAGCACCAATGAAGTTTTTAATCAAATACAGCTCTTCAGACGCGTTGTTTATTTAAGCATACATATTTGTTTTAATAGCTATTTTAAGTGATAAAACAACCATTGTTAAGATTGCTAAATATTTAATATTAATTGCCACTATTTACCCAGTATCCAAAAAAAAAAAAAGAAAAAAAAAAAAAAAAA